CATTCTTCTCTCCTCTCCGGGTTTCTGACACCTTGGTTTTGCCCCATTAAGCTTCACAGTTGTGTCCTCCACAGGAGCAACAAACAGACCAATGAGAAAACATGTGCTTATGGGAATTGTAGTGTTATAGCATCACATTTCAAAATGTTTAATTCTGATTCCATTTAAGAAGATGAAATAAAAAAAAATGCTGGAGTGTTGATGTCAAGCCCTGCTTAAACCTTTTAAAGTGTTGGATCGCGCTACGCCATGCCTCCGTGTCTGATCAAGCTTTATATGATGGGAAAACGCAGTTCATAGCTGTGAAATGGAAGGAAAACTATTTTTTTAATCTGTTTTTATTTGACAATCGTATTTGTGACGGTGTTCCTGCATGTTCTCCCTGTGCATGGGTAGTTTGTCTCCGGGTACTCCTGCTTCTTGCTGCTGTCCAAAAACTGTTTTATGATCCCAAATTGCCTTTGGGTTCTTCACAATAAGTGTGCATGGTTCCATGTTCTGTGTTAGCCTGTGATTGGTGGGCTGTGCACCATGGGTGTACAGCCATCCACCAAAAAAGCAACTTGGTTTATTTTTGCTTAACGCTGGAGCCAATCTGGAACAAGCACAACAGATTTTCCAAATATTTCCCTCAAGATCCATTAGATTCCTGCGTCACTACTGGTGATTACAGTTTTTGTGTTTTTATTTTGGAGGTTTTTGACATGGTAGGGCATCAGAGAATCAGGACAGGACTGACAGAAGAATTAACTTTGGAAAGGAATTAAAATCTCAAATAAAAGCGGGGATGCAGAACTGATGCAGACCTGTCATTAACTACCATATTTAACATCTGTTAAACTTGTAACTTTAATGTGATGAAATTATAGTGTGCTGCTATAAAACATGGAGAGGCTGAATCACCTTATGAGAGACTATAAAAGAAACTGTACTCAAGAGGCAGACTCACCTCACAGACTTGTATAAAAGTAACGTTTTGCAGAGAGAACATTGCTTTACACTAGTTTATATCCGTTAATGAACAATACTACCCACTTCTTTAGATATTTGGTCTTGATATGAATCTCCCAGCTCCCTAGAGGGGGACAGTTCTGTAGTTGTAGGGTAAGTGGCTCGTTGAGGAAGTCAGTGTTTACAACAGTGCTGTTTTCAAAAAGGTCCTGTAGGGGGAGCACCACTCAAAAATCAGGTAGAGCTGTTTTTCAGTGTCCCTTTTAGCCACTAGGGGTGTTAGACCAGAAACTTGCAGGTTTAGTGCTTCTGAAATGACCCTATTGTTGCAGAAAACAGTCTCCTTCTGTGCTTTGGAAGTCATAGAGTTGAAGACAAGGAAATATTTAGCCCTCAAGATTAACTGTTACATCAGAGAACCAAAAATGTGTCTAAAAGAGTAAAGATCAGATGTGATTTGTAAGCGAACAACGTTTCGCTTAGCTGTCTGGGTCACATGACCCATTCAGCAATGGATATTACCCTCTCGAGTTCAACTAGCGAGTTTTTTGATTAGAGCACTCTACATGCAGCATTGAAACGCAGGAAGTATGGAATATTGCCCAGAAAAATGATTTAATATATCTCATATTTAGTTATACTTAGGTCAGATGTTATGCAGTGTTGCTTTCAATGCACCAAAGTAAGCAGAAAAAGCTTATCAATACTCTGTACATTCACTCATTGACCACCATCCCGCTCTGGAAATGTGGAGGGCCGTTATCCTGCCGTGAACCCTGGTCTCATATCTTCTTCAGTAAACCAAATTTTCCTTCCATTCCCCAACTTCTGAACTTAATTATTTAATTTTGCCACAAAGAAGCCTAAAATAATTAAATTGTAACATTTGAAAGGAAACTTTTCCTTCTTTTTTTTATTTCCTTTATCCTTCCGGGGGCTTCTCTAAAATAAAGATGAAAAATGCCTTTTTGCACTAGTTTAAAAAAGTGTCACTTAAAAACAGAAAAAAAACTATTGTATCCAGCTGGGTTCTATTTTCCCACTGAATGTAAAGTAATCTGTAATCTGTGCTTATTTTCAGTTACGCTGCGATGTTGTGCTGCTAGCTTTAATCTGTCCTGTTTTAGCATGTGTGTGATTCAGATGTGTTGATGTCTCCTGCAGAGTAGAAGGAAATGCTAAACCTAATGTACAGCTAAGGACATTTTATAACAAAAATAAAGTTTTATACAAAAGAACAAAAACGATTCCAGTTTATTTTTCATTGAATCCTTTGTAGTCATGCTTGATAAGGATCCATGGCATGGCTCAGGGGCCAGCACAAGCACGCTGGTTTAAGTTTAAGTTCCCTAAACTTCACATGTACCCTAACCTTCACATGTAACATAACCTTCATATGTAACCTAACCTTTGCTGGTACCCTAACATTCACATATACCCTAAACTTCACATGCATCCTGACCTTCACATGTACCCTAAACTTCACATGTACCCTAACCTTCGCATGTACCCTAACCTTCACATATACCCTAAACTTCACATGCATCCTGACTTTCACATGTATCCTAAACTTCACATGTACCATAACCTTTGCATGTACCATAACCTTCACATGTACCCAAACCTTAACATGTACCCATGCCTTCACATGTACCCTAACCTTCTTAGTACCCTAATTTTCGCATTAATCATAACCTTCACATTTACCCTAAATTTAACATGTACCCTAACCTTCACATGTACCCAACAATTCAATGTACCCTAACCTTCACATATACCCTAAACTTCACATGCATCCTGACCTTCACATGTACCCTAAACTTCACATGTACCCTAACCTTCGCATGTACCATAACCTTCCTATGTACCCTAACTTTCGCATGTACCATAACCTTCACATTTACCCTAAATTTAACATGTACCCTAACATTAGCATATACCCTAAACTTCACATGCACCATAACCTTCACATGTATCCTACAATTCACTGTACCCTAAACTTCACATGTACCACAACCTTCACATGTACCCAAACCTTAACATTTACCCTAACCTTCTTAGTACCCTAACTTTCGCCATGTACCATAACCTTTCGCATGTACCCTAAACTTCACATGTACCCAAACCTTCACATGTACCCTAACCTTCTTAGTACCCTAACTTTCGCCAAGTACCATAACCTTCACATGTACCCTAAACTTCACATGTACCCTAACCTTTGCATGTACCATAAACTTTGCATGTACCCTAAATTTCACATGTTCCATAGCCTTCACATGTACCCAAACCTTAACATGTACCCATACCTTCACATGTACCCTAACCTTCTTAGTACCCTAACTTTCGCATGTACCATAAACTTCACATTTACCCTAAATTCAACATGTACCCTAACCTTCTTAGTAACCTAACTTTCACATGTACCATAACCTTCACATTTACCCTAAATTTAACATGTACCCCAACCTTAGCATGTACCCTAAACTTCACTGTACCCTAAACTTCACATGTACCCAAACCTTTGCATGTACCATAACCTTCACATTTACCCTAAATTTAACATGTACCCTACAGTAACCTTCTTATTACCCTAACTTTCGCCATGTACCATAACCTTCACATGTACCCTAAACTTCACATGTACCCTAACCTTCACATGTACCCTAACTTTCACATGTACCCTAACCTTCACATGTACCCTAACCTTCTTAGTACCTTAAATTTTGCATGTACCATAACCTTCACATTTTCCCTAAATGTAACATGTACCCTAACCTCAGCATGTACCCCAAAACTTTACATGTACCCAAACCTTCACATGTACCCAAACCTTCACATGTACCCTAACTTTCACATGTACCCTAACCTTCACATGTACCCTAACCTTCGCATGTACCCTAAACTTTGCATGTACCCTAACCTTCACATGTACCCAAACCTTCACATGTACCCTAACCTTCTTAGTACCCTAACTTTTGCATGTACCATAACCTTCACATGTACCCTAAACTTAACATGTAACCTAACCTTAGCATGTACCCTCAACTTCACATGTACCCTAACTTTCACATGTACCCTAACCCTTTCCAAGTCATAAAATAGCATAACAAATTACAGTAAGGCTGTTTTAAAGGAGTTTTTTAATTAGATGTTTACCATATTTCTCAACAACTGATTTCAGTGGTGTGACATTTATTTCAACTGTATTTTATCAGTGTTATTTTTACACACACATATATACACTATAATAAGAAAATTATGTCATCAACACTTTAAACTTCTCCAAAGCCTCCTTTGTGATCTGTCTGCTGCTCCTTGGTCTCCAGGATGCTGTTCCTTCCCGTTTCGGATGGTTTTGTTTAACAAAATGCTGCAATGATCCAAACTTAGCTTAAATGTTTTTCTACCAAACCAACTGCTCGATTGTGCAAAGCTCTGGATTGGGAAAATTCTTGGACCACTTAAGAAAGTCAGATATGTGAGGAAACACCCCCCTTTTCTGGAAGATAAGATCTCTATGTGAAACACAGGACATCTGGTTTGCATCTCAGCAACCTGGAAACTCCAGAGCTCATTCTCTTCCCGTAACAACCTTGAGCAGCAGTGTTATATGAGAACTTTCTGTACACTGATCAAGTTTTTTTATTTTTTCATTTATATATTTGATGTGGTTTCTGACACTGATTGGTAAACTTAAACCATGGGACTTCCCAGAGCATCCTTGCTGTTTTATAACAGCCCCTAACAGAGAGCTCAGACTCAGATCTGCCTGCAGTGCAGAGTTCATCAGCTCTGCTTTTGCTCTTAAATTCCTGCAGATATCTGTCTGAAACCCACTGCTGCAGAAGAACTCATCTGGTAAGTCAGTTTGATGTTTTTAAAGCCTTAACTTTTACAGCAACACCTTCTGCAGAAGTAAACTATCCTTACTTTTACTGCATAAAACAAGCAGATGCATTTAAACAACTGGGGATTTGTTTATTGAATAGGAAACTTGTTAAGCAAGGGGTGAAAACATTTCAAGTGTCAGCAATGGCTCCTAGCTGCAGCTTGATGCTGCTGATGCTCCTCAGCTGCATATCGGGGAGCCTGGCCTGTCACTGCGACCGTTACCCCTGGACCTCCTGGTCCATCTGCACCACAACCTGCAACTACGGCACTCAGATCAGAAGCAGGTGAGACACGACAACTACAGAGTTCAGAAAATGCTGGAATTTGTGCTCTTCTGTATTAGAAAAATTGCAGTTGAGCAACAAAGAACCAGATTATATGTTGTTGTGAAATCCAAAGAAGACGATGATTGATGTATTTAGAGACTTTCCTCTCTTTCTCCCGTAGGAGGCCTCCTTCTGGTGATGATTCTTATTATTGGAAGAACAGCTGCCAACAGCTGTGTGCCAAATTTGAATCAAGGGCTTGTAACGAGCAGGCTTGTCCGATTAACTGCATTTTGTCGGAGTTTACCCAGTGGTCCGACTGCTCGCCCTGCGCCAGGAAGCAGGCAAGGAACTCACAATCACGTGAAATTAATTTTTCTTCCTTTTTTCATACAAAATATTTGGTTTTAAAGAGGAAAGTTGAACAAAAATCTACTATAAACACAGAAAACTGAAGAAATAGATTACTGTATAGATATCACAAGAACTTCACAAAAAATATTTTTATTATAAATCATAAATCCTGGACAATCAGAAAGTAATTTCTTGTGTAAATTGGCAATAAAAGGGTTTTTATAAAAGGAGAAAAAAGGAACTTTGGTTAATATGCAGAGGTGGGTAGGAGTTAAATTTGCTTGAGTTACTGTTTGAAAATAATGTACTTTTAGGATTAGTACTAGGAGTTTTAGTGCATTTTATTTTTTCTTAAGTCAAAAAACCTTATAAAGTATCACAACTATTATTAAGTTTTCTGGGTACTCCGTGTATTTTGAGTAAATTAACTTGGTGAAAAGAAGCTTGTTTTAAACAAAGATGCACCATAAAGACACTTATTTCCTTTTTGCACTCAAGGCTTATTGGTCTGATGATATTTTCCATCTGCTGAATCTGTCATTTAGAGGTTGAGTGAAAATATATTAAACAGTTTAATTTAATTTATCCTGTTCTAACATATTGTAACTTTTGATTTTGTAAGTACTAGTTCTCAAATGATGTATTTTGAAGTATTCACTCCACATAAAATTGTTATGAAGAATTACACTATGTTATATTTTTTTATCTAATTTTTAGAAAAGAAACAGAATTTGCACATCATTTTATATTTCTATACATTACTTTAAGACACTTAATATGTGTGGTAAGCAGATTAGTTAATCAGTACTTAGGTAGTACTTTAAACAGCCTTTCTGATCTGACTCATTTCTTGGATGAGTATTGTCTTACTTTTACTTTATCAAAAATATGAAGAAATAGTGCTTCTCCTGCTTTAGTGCATTTTTTCTGTACTCTTCCCTCCTCTGGTGATATGACTCAAGTTAACAATGTAGCATTAATGCTACATGGTGACAATGCTAATGCCAGTTTGCTCATACAGTTTTTTTTTCTGTTACTGGAACATTAAAACTAAGCAGAATTGTGGACGGGTTTACTATGTCTCGTTACAAAAATGCATTTGTTTAGATTAACCTCAAGAGATTTGAAATAATACTGATTAGTTATGAAAAGTAAGTAGCTTATCTGCATTTTGCAGCAGTCTTCTCAGTTTGGAGAATCAGGATAAAATTCCAGAAGTGTATAAAGTACTTTTAAAAAAAAAGTTTATGGAAAAATACCTTAACAGAAGATGTTTAACTATCTGTTCACAATCATATAAAAAATAACCTATCTAAGAGAAAGAAAACTTAACAGTAACTTAGGTTCTTTGAGAGGGGTCTGGCTGCAGACCTGCACTGTCGGGACCAAGAGCTGCACCAGTATCCAGAGCTGCACTGTCAGGACCCAGAGCTGCACTATTACCCAGAGCAGCACTGTCAGGACCCAGAGCTGCACTATCACCCAGAGCTGCACTGTCAGGACCCAGAGCTGCACTATCACCCAGAGCTGCACTGTCAGGACCCAGAGCTGCACTATCACCCAGAGCTGCATGTCAGGACCCAGAGCTGCACTATTACCCAGAGCTGCACTGTCAGGACCCAGAGCTGCACTGTCAGGACCCAGAGCTGCACTGTCAGGACCCAGAGCTGCATGTCAGGACCCAGAGCTGCACTATTACCCAGAGCTGCATGTCAGGACCCAGAGCTGCACTGTTACCCAGAGCTGCACTGTCAGGACCCAGAGCTGCACGGTCAGGACCCAGAGCTGCACTGTCAGGACCCAGAGCTACATTATTACCCAGAGCTGAACTGTCAGGACCCAGAGCTGCACTATTACCCAAAGCAGCACTGTCAGGACCCAGAGCTGCATTATTACCCAGAGCTGAACTGTCAGGACCCAGAGCTGCACTATTACCCAGAGCTGCACTGTCAGGACCCAGAGCTGCACTATTACCCAGAGCTGCATGTCAGGACCCAGAGCTGCACTGTTACCCAGAGCTGCACTGTCAGGACCCAGAGCTGCACGGTCAGGACCCAGAGCTGCACTGTCAGGACCCAGAGCTGCATTATTACCCAGAGCGGAACTGTCAGGACCCAGAGCTGCACTATTACCCAGAGCAGCACTGTCAGGACCCAGAGCTGCACTGTCAGGGCCCAGAGCTGCACTAGTACTCAGAGCTGCACTGTCAGAACCCAAAGCAGAACTTTCAGGACACAGACATGCACTTGTACCCAGAACTGTACTGTCAGGACCCAGAGCTGCACTGTCAGAACCCAGAGCTGGCCTGTTAGGACCCAGACATGCACTAGTACCTAGAGCTGCATTGTCAGGCCCAGAGCTGCACTGTCAGGGCCCAGAGCTGCATTGTCAGGACCCAGAGTTGCATTGTCAGGACCCAGAGCTGTACTGTCAGGACCCAGAGCTACATTGTCAGGCCCAGAGCTGTACTGTCAGGACCCAGAGTTGCATTGTCAGGACCCAGAGCTGTACTGTCAGGGCCCAGAGCTGTACTGTCAGGACCCAGAGTTGCATTGTCAGGACCCAGAGCTGTACTGTCAGGACCCAGAGCTGTACTGTCAGGACCCAGAGCTGCATTATTACCCAGAGCTGAACTGTCAGGACCCAGAGCTGCACTATTACCCAGAGCTGCACTGTCAGGGCCCAGAGCTGCACTAGTACTCAGAGCTGCACTGTCAGAACCCAAAGCAGAACTTTCAGGACACAGACATGCACTTGTACCCAGAACTGTACTGTCAGGACCCAGAGTGGCACTGTCAGGACCCAGAGCTGCACTGTCAGAACCCAGAGCTGGCCTGTTAGGACCCAGACATGCACTAGTACCCAGAGCTACATTGTCAGGCCCAGAGCTGCACTGTCAGGGCCCAGAGTTGCATTGTCAGGACCCAGAGCTGTACTGTCAGGGCCCAGAGCTGTACTGTCAGGACCCAGAGTTGCATTGTCAGGACCCAGAGCTGTACTGTCAAGACCCAGAGCTGCATTGTCAGGACCCAGAGCTGTAATGTCAGGACCCAGAGCTGCATTGTCAGGACCCAGAGCTCCAGTTTCAGGACCCAGACTGCACTGATGGAACCGGAGGTTTATTCAAAGACTTTCAAAGTAAAAGCGAAGTTGATTTGAGGCATTTCAAAAGTCAAGCTAGTACCGATAAACTCCCCATGAAGCTAGCTTACTTTCAAACAAAAAAACCTATGTACATGCACAATTTGCAGAACAATAGATATATGCTACATAGAAATAAGTCTGCATTTGGATCCATGGATGGAAAAGGGCATTTGGTCTATAATACATTTTCTAAACGACAATGGAGGTTGGCTGTCCAATGAGGATTTTTGCTCACCGTATAATTTAAACTGCTCCTATGCTCAGTTTAAGACGGTCATAAACTCTAATCCAGAAGTAAAAATATGCTGAGTGCTATTCCCAAGGGATTCGAATACAGATTTCGGTATAAACTTCTGGTCTTGACAGTGCAGACCCCATTTTGCAGGTCTGCAGCGAAGGGCCCTGACAGCGCAGGTCTGCAGCAAGACTCTCTTGGGTTCTTTTAGGTGTTAGGAAAACATTTAAAATGAAAGGTAAAAGTATGCATAACTTTCTCAATATTCAGAGAAAATAAAATAAACAAATGTTTCTCTATTCAAAGAGGAATGAAGTAAAGAAGGTAAAGTATATTTTTTATGTCTCTAATGTAACAAAATAAAAGTACAGCTCAATATATCAAAAAATACCCAGTAAAGTACAGATTTTAAAAAAACTGTAATGATTTAAATGTAAGCAATTAGTAAACACTTCTTTGAAAATCCCAAATCAAGCTGGTAACTGCTATAAGCAAGGGCACAAATTAATTTTTAAATTTTTTTTCCCCAAAGTGTTTTTATTAAGCATTCAGTCAAGAAAAATACAATTTCAAGTACATTAGAACAATTTTCCCCCTTTAACCCCTCAAACAACCCTCCTGCTGCACCATTAAGGACAATCAAAACATGACAATGTGTATATTAATTTTTAATTAAACATCCAAAAACTGAAGTATTTTCCTAATGGAGTATGATGAAAGAACTAAATAGATTTTCAGTGGAATTTGTAGTCTGTAGCAACATTACTGATTTACAGCGATCCTAATGCTTATTTGCTCCTAAAAGCCATGTTGATAAATTTACCTCCTGAGGAAACAGACGACTGAACCACCTCAGCCGACCCTTTCGAGTGGAGAAGCAGCAGCTCTACTCTGAGTCCCTTCTGAATGTCTGACATCCACACCCAGTTCTTTAAGGAAACCATAGGGAAGGATCTTATTTCCGTCACTTGTATCCACGATCTCTTTCTTTTGGATAAGATCCACATTTTTCAATCATAGGTGAGGAACAATCAGCAAAACTGCTGTGGTAAAAAGTGAAACAAATTATAAAATAAAAAAATACCATATTATAGAATATTGTTAAAATCATACAAAGTATACTTTAGCTGGATTTTTCTTCACAATCACCTTGTGAAATATTTCTGGATTTTGCTCTGTAAGTGTTGGTGCATTTCTAATGATGCATGTTTGTTGTACATTTTAAGAAACATCTGGCTTTTGTTAGAGTTGTGCCTTACAAAGTCTTTGCTAGCAGACGTGTACCTGTTGTCAGCTGTCTGCAGCAACATCATCAGTAAACCCAGAAAAGAAATGCTAACCTTCACATTCATCAACATCTGCTATTTTCTTGTATTATGACGGAGTATTAGGGCCAGGCTAGAATTTTTTTTATTTACTTCAAAAATAAAATCGTAATTTACGAAAATAATCATAGACATAAAAAGTCGTAACATTACGAGAATTAAGTCGTAACATTACTAAGGATGTGCAAAATAATCGTCACGACGATGCATCGCGATTCTCATTTTTGTGATCTACTACATCGATTCTTGAAGGCAAGAAGCGATTATTAAAATAAAAAGCTGAGTCCACTTTGACATCCTGCCCAGTTTGATGCTGCTGCTAAAAGATTTCCTGATTTGTCAAACCGATTCAAAGTGTAACTTCACATGATGCTCCACATTCCTCATTTTAGGGAAGAAAGGACTTCTTGTAAGAGTTGTCATAAAATACAACTTTATTCTCATAGTATAAGGATTTTTTTTTGTCGAAATTTTATGACTATTCTTATTGACTTTATTCTCCTAATTGTATGACTTTATTCTCGTTGCGACTCTATTCTCGTAATTTTATGACTATTCTCATAATATTACAACTTTATTCTCGAAATAAAAAATGTATTTATTTAGGACATAATTAGTAATATTTAAAAAAAAGCATATAAATAAATGAAGAATACATACAGCAATAATTAGTATTTGAAAATAAGTTTTTAGAGTGAAAATGTTTCATATTCGCAAAGAATAGCCGTATTTTTTTTTATCTAGAAGCAAAATCACTGGAGTCAGATGTGTTTCCATCATTGTTTTTATTTTTATTTTTTTTCAAGTAGCACATTAAAAGAGCTTGATGGTAACAGCAAAATTTTTAGTTTTTTAGTTTTAATTTTTAGCAAAAGCTTTTAACTCTGGTCTGACATTGCAAACATTTACCTCACAGATCATCTAATTTTCCATTGCCTAGCCACCTTAATGCCAGCATTAGAATTCTACTTCTGTCTCAATGTCTCTGGATGGAATACATCACAAACACTAGCTACAATGATAAAGCGAGTACAACTTGCCCGATTGCAAAAAAAATAAAACGAAATCTCTAGCCTGGCCCTAATACTCCGTCGTACTTTGTTCTGTTTTTTTTTGTAAAATAGTAAAACCCAGCTGCAGCAACCTAAGTTTCTCTCTCCTTTGCGTTCTGCTTTAGTTTCGGACTCGGTCTGTTGTGAGACCTTCACAGTTCGGTGGATCGGAATGCAGCGTGGAACTGACCGAGGAAAGGCCTTGCTATCCTTCCAAAGAATGCCAGTTACCGTCTGTGGACTGCAGAGATGACTTCAAGTGTGACAACGGTGAGTGGACTGAACATCTGACCCATTTCCCAAACTGTTATTGTATGATATGATTAAAAACAGCCTTCCCCGTGCAGGGCGATGCATTAACTCCACACTGACGTGCAACGAACAGAACGACTGTGGAGATAACTCAGATGAGAGGGATTGCAAAACCTTTAAAGTTGTCTGTCCTGACAAGAGAGTGGCTCCCGGGGCTGATCTGGTTGGAAATGGGTAACTGGTTAATAATCACCCAATAACCCCTATTGAAGTGTGTAGCAGTGTGTTTTACTTATCATTTAATTCTTTATACAGAAAGGTACTGGTAGGTCTTCTGGTGTGTGTGGTAATTTTCTTCTCCACATGTAATGTAAACCGATGAAGAACTGAGAATTTCCTCTTTGATGCTTTTCAACATAGATTTGATGCACTGGCAGAAGAGCCAAGAGGTGTGGTGCTGGACAACATGTTCATGGGAGGAAGCTGCGTCATCAGGCGGCCCCAAAGCACGCTTCTCTACCATCGAGTTCCACACAACTTTGAAACCTTTGACATTAAGGTAGTCATTTATAAAAACTCTTAAACTGCTTTGACTCGGGTATGGACAGAGAAAAAAACTTCAGGAAAAGGGATTTACTTGTTGCTACAGTTTTTAAACATCTGATATTTACTGACGATGTTGTTGTTTAGGTTGGAGTGCTGGAAGACTTTAGCACTGAACCCCAGGAGGTGGTCTCTGAGTCCGTCGAGATAAAGAGAACGAGGCAAAGTGAAACCGGGAGCCATGATCCACGTGGCTCTCTGTTTCTTCTCATTCTTTTCCATAGTTCTTCTGGTTCACGTCTTACTTCCAACAAGTTTGCATTTGAGGCTTCAAAGAAAAAGGTGATTTTTTAATGCTCAACATGACACTAATAAGCTATTTGGAATACAAACAGTGCTATTTGGAGCACTACAATCACTCTATCTCTGGCCCTATTTCTAGGACTCCAAGTTTTTCCGAGTGCACCAAGTTCTACCGATTTCTACATTTACAGTAAAGGAGCCACAGGACCTCGTCCTTTCTCTGCCATTTCAGCAGTTCCTTCACGCTCTCCCCCTGGATTACAACTACGCCCTCTACAGGGAAATCTTCCAGCGCTTTGGCACACACTACTACAGCTCAGGAAAACTGGGAGGCCACTATGACCTGCTGTACCAATACAGCCGAGAGGAGCTCAAAAGTTCAGGTTAAACATTAAACCCTGCTGTCCAAAGTACAGAACATAATTAGTAATATAAAAAAAAAAAAAAAAAGCATATAAATAAATGAACAATACATACAGCAATAATTAGTATTTGAAAATAAGTTTTCAGAGGGAAAATATTTCCTATTCGCAAAGAATAACCCTATTTTTTTATCTAGAAGCAAAATCACTGGAGTCAGAATAGATGTGTTTCCATCGGTATTTCTCTTTATGTGTATTTTGAAGTATCACATTAAAAGAGCTTGATGGTAGCAGCAAAATTTGAATCCAATTACTGGTCTGACATTGCAAACATTTACCTCACAGGGCTGATCATCTCATTTTACGTTGTCTAGCCACCAGAATGCCAGCATTAGAATTGTACTTCTGTCTCAATGTCTCTGGATGGAATACATCACAAACACTAGCTACAATGATAAAGCGAGTACAACTTGTCCGATTGGAATGCATTCATTAAACCTCTCAACTCATTAAACCAAAAAATTGGCTCCTTACTTTAGTTTTGAATCATTTCAATGGAGTTACCGTTATTATTTTTCATGTCATCAATACCAAATTCAATCTAATTGGATGGGAATCTACATTGCATTTGACGCACCACTACAAGATCAATCGACAGATTCGGCGGTATTCATTGGCGGCAAATCATTGCAGCTTGGTGGCGGTGGCGTTAGCATAGTAGTATGGACGACGAGATGATTGAAAATGAACACAACGGAGATCTAGTCCTATTGGCAGACATCCATTTAAAATGTAGGCAAAGGCATGAAAAAAGTGGTTTCTACTTTTACTTTTATACTTTAAGTAAATTTACAAGTCTGTACTTTGTTACTTTTACTTGAGTAAATAAGTTTAATCAGTACTTCCACTTTTACCAGAGTATTTTTTAACACAAGTTTTTACTCAAGTACGGAAAGTGAGTACTTTTGCCATCTCTGGTTGCTATTAGCTTCTGCTGGCTTGCTTTACACTACAGTAAACACATGACATGATCATAAATAATCAAAACTCAAATTGCTCATTCCTTTTCCAGTAGGTATACCAGTGTAATTTGTGTAGACTGACCCTGGTTTTTAGTTTTCAGCCACCATCAGGCTACATTGGTCCCTGCCTGTCCACCCCTGTGAGACATATCTGGCTCACCACTGCATCATTTGTCCCTTTGAGTTTCAATCTCTTTTGTAGTAGTGTCCAACTGAGGGGTTTACAGTCCCTTGATCTGTTTCTTTTGTGTTTTACAAATGGCCTGCAGCTGTTAAGAGTTTGCAAAGAAAACATGCATGGACATTCATCTACAAATGTCCAAAATTAATATTATGGCTTATGGCATTTCAAAATGTTTAACTTACGTTGTTTTTTTCTGTACTTTCTATGAGGCAGGTGATAGTGATGAGCGCATTTCAGGCTGTCTGAGTCGTGAAACCGGCTGGACTGTAATCCTGTACAGTGAATACAGCAGCATGTCCAGATGCACCAACAACAGGATGACTGAGAAATATCAAGGTTTGTTCTGACTTGCAGCAGGAAACAAGTTTTCCAAATTTCTATATACCCCCATGGGTTATTCTCTTTGGTCACTTCTTCCTCCTTCCTCTGGTCCAGGCTCATTCATCCAGGCCTCAGAGAAATCCTTCTCCATGGTGAAAGGAGGTCGAGTTAGGGAGGCGGAAGCTCTTACCTGGGAAAGAGAAGGCTCTGCTCCAAACAAGACATCCTACAAGAACTGGGCCAAGTCTGTGCTCGAAAACCCTGCTTTGGTGGATTACAAGGTAAAGTCCAGAGATCTTTATAGACCTCATACATCAGTAATTTTAAAAGCTTGGTTTAGTCCTCCTACCATCTGATTTTGTAGACAACTAAAAAGCTGTACGACTTTTACTTGCATAGGATTACAACTAGTTTCATCCCAAGACTGTTATTATTTAGGGAATTTGAGAGAAAGTATCAGAGCTGACTAAAATCGAATGTTTATTGGATGCTCAAAATTATCTTTGGACTGGGAGGCTGTGTGCATGGTAGTTTATCTGTATCTTGTACTGTTTAGGGTGTAACTGCCTACTAACCAATGATCATTAGAAAATGCTCACCTAGTGCCACCCTAAAAGGACAGGGAGGGATAGACCAAGATATAATGGGAGGTGTTAACAAAAAACTAAGATAAAACAAGGAATTGGCTAAATCCATCCATCCATTATCTGACACGCTTGTCCCAATTGGGGTCACGAGGGTTGCTGGTGCCTATCTCCAGCTGTCAATGGGTGAGAGGCGGGACAGGTCACCAGTCCATCGCTGGGCAACACAGAGACAAACAGGACATACGACCATTCACGCACACACTCACACCTAAGGAGAATCTAGAGAAGCCAACTAACCTAACAATCATGTTTTTTGACTGTGGGAGGAAGCCGTAGTACCTAGAGAGAACCCATGCTTGCTCAGGGAGAATCGAACCCAGAACCTTCTTGCTGCCCGAATTGGCAAAAGATTTCCCAAAACAGCTGTTGCTGTCAAAGGTTCTGTCTGGTCTTGTGACGAGACGGCTGAGACTAGAACCTCTTTCCTTTTAGACCAAGTGCTTAGTGCCACCTGCAGTCTATCGTTGGAAGACGGGGTCCGTGTGCATGTCTTGGGGTTACCACCTGGCTCATTAGAAAGGGAATAATAACTTGTGTAATGAATATGGCAGGTTATCTAGAGCATAACTAAACAAACTTAATCGTAGGCACTCTGCCTGTCAGAAAAAGGGACAGATGGACCCAGTATTCAAGGTGAGACAGGCAGTAGGAAAGTTCAAAATGTTTATTTACACAAAAACAGACAGAACTATAGCGGGCTGCTGAGAATATGTGGACCTGTAGTGACTGCAGGAGGGGGAAGGGGCACCGACCAATCACTCACACTCTGGTTTAACAGTTCAGTCCATCCTCTCAATCTTAGGCAGGATAAGCTGATACACTGCCAACGAGAAGCGGCCCTGAGCCATCCAGAGCATCCCCGATGCAGCAACCCCAGTGAACAAGCATGACTCCGATCCAGGACAGGGATTCAGATCAGACTGGAGTGGTACTGGAATTCAGGAATCCGCAGTCCAGTCAGGGGTTCAGATCCACTCAGGAATGGACAGATCCGGGTTCCAGGAATTCATCAGAGCGTGAAGGCCAGTTCAGAGGCCCGTGCATCAAGCATCCATCTCAGACAGAAAAGCACCTGGGAGGCAGAATCCAGCAGGAGTCCAACTGTGGTTCAGGCGAACAGATCAGGCAGGAACAGGCAGAGCCAGTGGGTGAGAGGGAACGGAATCAGGAAATCAGAATCACTTAGGGAAACGCTGAAACGCTCTCACCACTGGTTGCGGAATAAACTTTCCTGAGGACACTGGCTTGAGAATAAACTCCTCACTGGAACATGAACCTTGGAAAACTAACAAAACTGACAGACCGGAAACTAACAGAAGACAAACAGGGAACCAACATCAAACAATGATCTGGCCTCGATAGCTGGGCTGGACTGAATATAAAGCAAAAGACGCAGGTGGATGAGGTGAGTGATAATTAGAAAACTGGGCAGAGTTATTCAGGTGAGTGAAATGAACAATTCCAGCTATCAGGCCAGATCATGACAGTGTCCTTTGTTTGTCAAGACAACTCATAGCTAGTCTTCTCAATATTGAGACAATTGTACTTCCTACGGAGGATGAGAAGAGCCCACCTACCCCCACCCATCCTCACATTCTTTTACAGAAGCACCATAGAGAGTGTTCTGACCAGCTGTCTCACTGTGTGGTGTGGAGGCTGCAGCGCCTCAGACTGGAAGAAAGTGAGGAGAGTTGTGAGAACAGCAGAGAAGATCATCGGGGCTGCTCTTTCCTCCATAAAAGACATAAAAACTCTAAATCATGTCACATACTCCGCATCAAACTGAGCAAATCTATGTGTTCATTTTGCACCAATCTTTTTTTTCTCCCACAATGTTTACATTGATCACTGCTGCACTATAAGAAATATAAATGTTATGAGAGCTGTAAAAGCCAAAATTTCATTTTGTAGACACTACAATAAAGTTTGTCTAAGTCTAAGATATGCTAAATATAACCAATCTCAGTATTAAACACCATGTTTTCTTTGTTTAGGTGTTTCCGCTCATAGACCTCGTACGTGGAATTCCCTGTGCTGTCACAAAAAGGAGGCACTTGAGGAGAGCTCTGTTACAATACCTGGAAGAGTTTGATACCTGCAAGTGCGCCCCGTGTCCCAATAATGCCAGGCCAGTTCTCTCTGGTACCGAGTGCAAGTGTGTTTGTCAGACAGGAACTTTTGGAACCAACTGTGAGAAACGAGCGTCTGATTACACATCAGGTAGGAAGACTCTGTGGTACCAAACTCATTTAAGGGTAACTTGTATGTTTTATTGTCTTAAAAAAATAATTTGGATTATTTGGGGGTTAGTGTCTTATTTATGTCGGTTTTGAAGAGTCCTTGAAAATGTAAAAAAAAAGTGATAATTCATTCAAAATACTCATCTTGTGCTGAACATTTGCCATTCTTTCTGGAGTTTATTATTTAGAAAAAACACTTCACAACAGCTATTTTCAACTGTTGTACAAACCCAATGCAAACAATCCACTGGACTTTGTTTCCAAGTTTGAAGACGTTTCGCTTCCCATTCAGGAAGCATTTTCAATTCAAAAGGTCAGAAATAGTGTTGAGTTCTAGGCTTTATAGAGTGGACCAAAAAGAAGCCTTGTTGTGGCTTAGAAAACATGCAAATTGAACCGGACAAACTGGTCTGCCCCTTAGGAATAGAAAGAGAGTCCAAATGACCCCCATCCCTAAGGGGCAGACCCGTAACTTTTTTGAAACGACTATGACCTGGATGACTGAGAATCTTCACCATTGGGTTACAAGGTTAATAAGCTTATTAGGGAGTAAAGATCGCCATGACTGTAAACATCAGCCCCAAAACAGAAAAGACCCAAGTTAAGAATTTTTCCATATAATTATTAAAATTAGTTTTAAGTTAGCGGGCGCTGTACCGGTCCGTCGTGGTGAAGAGAGAGCTGAGTCAAAAAGCGAAGCTCTCGATTTACCGGTCGATCTATGTTCCTACCCTCATCTATGGTCATGAACTCATGACCGAAAGAACGAGATCGCGGATACAAGCGGCCGAAATGGGTTTCCCCCGTAGGGTGGCTGGGCTCTCCCTTAGAGATAGGGTGAGAAGCTCGGTCATCCGGGAGGGACTCGGAGTAGAGCCGCTGCTCCTCCACGTCGAGAGGAGCCAGTTGAGGTGGCTCAGGCCTCTGGTTAGGATGCCTCCTGTACGCCTTCCTGGTGAGGTATTCTGGGCACGTCCCACCGGGGGTAGGTCCCGGGGAAGACCCAGGACACGCTGGAGAGACTATGTTTCTCGGCTGGCCTGGGAACGCCTTGGGGTTCCTCCTGAGGGGCTAGAAGAAGTGGCTGCGGAGAGGAGTTTTAAGTTATTTTATATGTTGGAAAAACAGATATTTCTCTGAAATGGTTCTCTGGTTGGCCATTAGATTAATTGGTGGCTAGGTTTTACCTGAATACGAAAACTATTGGGGAGTGTTGGGCAAGTGGTTAGAGCAGTGTGCTTGTGCTCCGAGAAGGTTGCCAGTACCCGGTTCAAATCCCATAGCCTCCACTCTGGGTTCCTGAGCGAAGACCCTTAACCCTTGATTTCTCCCCAGGCGCCACACAATGGCAGCCCACTGCTCCCCAAAGGGGATGGGTCAAAATGCGTACAATTAATTTTATCTGCTTTATTTTGGGTTATTGTTACTTCTGAACTACTTCATAGAATTATGGAAAAAAAGTCAAATATGTTTAAATAATGTTTTAATATCAAAATTGTTTTATTTTCCACAGATGCAGTGGATGGTTACTGGAGCTGCTGGGGGCCATGGAGTAGCTGTGGAGCCTCTATGAGGAGACATCGAACTAGGAAATGCGACAACCCTGCTCCCCTCAGTGGTGGCCAACCCTGTGATGGTCCAAACAAACAGGAGGAACCGTGTCATATCTCTCTTTTTGAAAGGTGGGATTGAAAGGATTACTGTAACTCTTGGTGTTTGGCTGCTTATAAAGGGTTGCCTGTACTGAGAACTCTGTTTTGGTGGTTTTATGGGGCAGACAAGAATCCTGTGACAATGACGATGACTTCACAGTGGGATGGAGGGATGAGCTGCCCCCTGGGGTGCAGGGCTGTTTGAGGCCCCAGAGACCACCCAACAGTTTCCTCAGGGTATTTTTTTTTTTTTACTCAAGTTTTTTAAGCTTAAAGCATTGGGATTATTTAAACTTTTATGATCTAATCAGATTTTGGTTTCACTCTAACAGAAAGCTAAACAGTATTACTCCTTTGGCGAGGATGAGGAGTTCCAGTGCTTCACCGGATTTGAACTTGAGGGTTTCCAGTTCATCAACTGTCGTCCTGATGGAACCTGGAGTGAACCGACAGGGAGATGCATCAGTGAGTCTGGCAATAAAAAGGGAAATTTAAGCAAAAATATCAGGATTGTGAAAAGGATGGTCAATTACATGTCATTAATACTTCTCTCAACCTATTTTTACATAATCTTTAAATACTTTTAGGAATGAGTAAACACAAGTTAAACAATGCAAACCCCGTCACACCACCATACCCATAGTCATATGTGTATGCTTGTCCCCTTTAATTTGTCGTTGTTTATCCCTTTAGTTTTGTACCAAAAACACACTTTAAGCTACCTCAACAGGCGTATATCCCTTAAGTCATGTACAATGTGATTCAAAAAACGCCAAAAAGTAAGTAATGAAATCGTTTATGGGTATTGACTATGGGAATGCTGGTCTAACGGGGTATGCTAATACGACAGAACTCTGCATCAACAACTCATCTCGATCTCGATAGCCATCTCGATACACCTGAATCTAACGAGTTACTTACTTCATCACTATGGTTTCTAATCTGTAGGAATGCTTTTATATTTAGCATCTAAACTGTCTTTTTCAAGAATGAGGGGAAGATAGAGCGGGAAATCAATAGGCGGATTGGTGCGGCATCTGCTGTGAAGTGGCCCAGTACCGGTCTGTTGTGGTGAAGAGAGGCTGAGCCAAAAAGCAAAGCTCTCAATTTACTGGTCGATCTGCGTTCCTACTAGTGTTGCGCCGATGCCATTTTTTGGCCCCGATACCGATACCCGATACATGGCTGTGCAGTATCGGCCGATACCGATACCATAATAATGTAAAATAATTGCCATCATGGCTTTGTCAAGCTGCTGCCTACCTTTGTGAAGCAGGAAAAAATCTAATACAAAGTGAATCCAGCAGAACTTTTTATTGCCTACCAGGAGTGGGTGACAATAGTTGAATAAACTTTTGGCTCTCAAAATGGTATCGGTGCCCTATTTGTTGGTACTCGCCGATACCGATACCACCATTTTAGGGCAGTATCGGGGCCCCGTCCGATACTGGTATCGGTATCGGTGCAACACTAGTTCCTACCCTCATTTATGGTCATGAGCTTTGGGTCATGACCAAAAGAATGAGCGGCTGAAATGACCTTTCTCCGTAGTGTGTCTGGGCTCTCCCTTAGAGATAGGGTGAGGAGCTCAAGTCATCCGGGGAGGAATCAGAGCCGCTGCTCCTCCACATCGAGAGTAGCCAGTTGAGGTGGCTTGGGCATCTGATTAGGATGTCTCCTGGACATCTCCCTGGTGAGGTGTTCCAGGCACGTCCCACCAGGAGGAGGCCCAGGGGGAGACCCAGGACACGCTGGAGGGACTATGTTTCTCGGCTGGCCTGGGACCGCCTTGGGATTCCCCCGGAGGAGCTGGCCCAAGTGGCTGGGAAGAGGGACGTCTGGTTCTCCCTACTGAAGCTGCTACCCCCGCGACCCGACCCCGGATAAGCGGAAAAAGATGGATGGATGGATCTAAACTGTATAAAGAGTATATTTTGAAACAGAGAAACATCTAGAAGTCCTTTGGGGTTACAGTAGAGCTTGAGCTTGAGATCTAGAACTCTATTAGCTTCATTTTGTCTGCTTTTGCTCTTTCAGCGTTTTCTTTTTTTTTTTTCATTTAGCTCAAAGGTCAATTCAAGTTCTTACATGTTTACAAAGATTCTGTAAAATGTTGCAGGTTGTTCACCCATTATGAAAAGGGTGTAAAGATTAAGGCTTGGAGGTGGTGTATTTCTACCCAGGAAATTCCTAACCCCTGCCATCCTCTTACCTTCAGGGAGGCTCTGTGTTGCTCCCGAGGTCCCAGAGAACATGGAGCTGTTTCCATCCATGGCATCGTTCAGAGTGGGCGAACGAATTGGTTTCAACTGTAAAGAGAAAGGCCTGATGCCGATGCCACGCGGCCTGTACAGGTGCAGCAGTAAAATGACCTGGGAGCCCCCACTGCCTGAAGACCTCCGCTGCACTGATGGTTGGTTAAAACAATCGATGCTCCATGCAGGCTGTCCTTTAAAAGTCCAGCTATTTAACTTGAAATGAAAGGATTTGTCACAGAATGAATCATGTGACCATGAGGGCAGCTTTATGGCAGTCTGAGCTATTCTTAAGCACCAGAGCTAAGCTAAAATGTGTTTTTAGCTAGAAAAACAGATATGACCCTTAATAGATAAGACATGTTTTTGGTTATCTAATTTCTGTGGTGCATCTAATGCTGCGTTCACACCGGGGGCAGCTGGCGCGACAGAAGCAGCGAGTTTACATGCAAAGTCAATGGTTGACGCGCGTCAAGGCGCAGCAAAAGGTCCTGCGGTGCGTTTCGAGCAGCAAGCGCAGCGCGTCTGAGCAGCTGAAGCAGCGCGTCGGGCGCGTTTTGGCATCTGACGCGCGTGACGCGCCGCAAACGTGTTGCTGCTCGAGATGGAAAAATTGAATTTTTGCTGCTCGACGCGCCGCGTCAACCAATCAGAGAAGCTGATCTGGGAGCTGGCTGGGAGAGAGACACAGCGCTGATGACACAGACCGCTCTGATTACTCCTCTTAAACAGTTTATTAACGCATAATTAACTTAAAATATATACATCTGCCGGCAGAATATGTTCGCTTTTATTATTGTGGTGCCTGCAGATCGGATTATTTAGATGAAAAACACCTACCAGCCGCCGCGGTAAACCGCGAGGAGGCGACCCGCCAGAGGCTGCTGATGAATGGATTCCTTCTGTCGGCGCACCGCCGGTATGTGGGGGTCTGAGCGGCTCCGACAGAAATAATATTGGGAGGCAGGATCGTAATCTGGATGAACTGACTGCACTGATGAAGTTTTCAGGTGTATTTTCTCACTTAAAAACATATTAAAACTACTTTATTCCCACTGATCACAGCAAATATAGCTGCAAGGCAGAGAAAGGATAGTGAAGCTCCGCTCAACGCGCGTCAGAGCCACTTTTGGACCGCGCAGGCAGAGCAGCAAAGCTGCTTCAGCCGCGCGTCAGAACTAACTGGTACAAGCAGCAAAAATGAAGCAGCAGACGCGATTTTGCTGCTTTTGCTGCCCCCGGTGTGAACGCAGCATTATGCTACGTTCACCCCGCAAGCAGCAGAAGCAGCAAAAGCACGGGTGCTGCTTCATTTTTGATGCTTGTACAAGTGTAGTACTAACGCGCCACTGAGGCTTCTTTGCTGCACACTTGGTTAGCCCTGGCTGAGGTCTGATGGTTGCCGTGGTCCTCGCAACATCGAAACTTTTTAAATTACGCACTAAACTAGTAAATAGGCCATATAGCGATTCTTAAAAGTATGTACCTTGTACTTTTCCTTTGCCGTTGTACTTTTATAGAACAACGGCAAAAGAAAAGTGAACTTTTAACTCAATACTCTGAGCTCTGTGAGCGCTCCACTGGAAGCTGCTGCTGCCGCGGTGCATGCTGGGACAGCTGTCAGTCTCCAGAACAGACAAGTCTGCTGTGATGCGTGTTGGGTAAAGAGGGACGGGCGAGAACAACATCTGGGGACTTTGTCTGTTCTCGGTCTTGTGTTCTTGTGAATTGGAACAGAACTGATGACGTTTCACGAGCACCTGATAAGGCAAAAGTACACTGTGAGAAACGTCCAAAGCATGAGTACTAACTCAGTTAGCAACTGTTGCTTGCTGTGACGACCCTGTCAGGTGACTAATTGAGCTGCTGCGCGGCTGGCTCTAGTGTTTATCAGCCAAATGTATAAAATAATCAAAATCCTCTCTCTTTTTAATCTGTGTTTAGAGGAACCATTTGCACCTGATGTTCGGTGTGGACCGGGGCAGAGACAACAGGGATCACAATGTGTCTGCATAGAACGGGAGAGCTGTCTGTTAGTGACTTTAATATCTCAATTTGTTGCATTCTCACATTGTTACATCTAATTTGAAAAAGAAAGGATGTGTTTTTCTTCCAAGCAGCCAGACTCTGAAGTGAGAATTCTGCCAGATATACTGATGCATAAAAGAAAACATACAAGCAGTTTTACTTAAAAACTGAACGGCAATGCAAAAAAAAAAAAAAAAAAAAATATTTAATAACACCAAAAAAATCAGAATTGAGCATTAAAGGAAAAGTTCGGTCATATTCAGAATTCAAAGTTTTGAAAATACTTTAAATATGAAACTATTACATACTGTTTAATAAATGATGAGTGTTATTAATTCAGAGTAATTTTCATGTGAATGTGCTTTACTGGAGCCATCCATGTTTGTCAAAGAACACTACTGCCACCTACTGGTTTGTGACGTCACGGTGCGGTATCGGCTGTTGATCAAGTCCCAGTGCTGTATCTGGTGTTTGTCACAACGCGCTATTATCCAAGTCATCTTGAAAACATTCTTCTTCCAAATTTTGGCTACATATTACGTGTTTTTTCTCTGGCCAGAAGTTCGATGGCAAATCCTCCCTCTTCAAGTTGGCGATCCAACGACCAACCCGTCCGTGGAGGATCAGGAATCAGAAAGGTGGAATAACTCTTTTTTTTCACTTTTACCCGATGTATTCCAGCATCCAGCTGCCATGCACGTGGGCATTGTCAGTTTCACTATAGCTCTGGTGAATTTCAATGGTGAAGTCCTCAGGAAATCTTCAATAATTGTTGTTGATTGCAGATGTGTCTAGTAGTTCCCTTTGATTTTGCTTGTAAAGCAGAGAGAATGGCGCTAGGCTTACCGCACCGTGACGTCACTGCCGGAAGATGGCAGGAGGGAGGTGTACTATATTTGGGCAAAAATGGCCGATCACTCCGTGATCACGACATAAATTATTTTTATTTTTTTACTGATTAAAGCTAAATTCATTAAATCACCAAAAAGTATTAGTTTTAGGCAGAGATGGCAAAAGTACTCACTTTCCGTACTTGAGTAAAAGTACAGATACTTCTGTTAAAAAATACTCTGGTAAAAGTGGAAGTACTGATTAAACTTCTTTACTCAAGTAAAAGTAACAAAGTACAGGCTTGTAAATTTACTTAAAGTATAAAAGTAAAAGTAGAAACCACTTTTTTCATGGCGTTGCCTACATTTTAAATGGATGTCTGCCAATAGGACTAGATCTCCGTTGTGTTCATTTTCAATCATCTCGTCGTCCATGCTACTATGCTAACGCCACCCGCCACCAAGCTGCAATGATTTGCCGCCAATGAATATCGCCGAATCTGACGATTCATCTTGTAGTGGTGCGTCAAATGCAACGTAGATTCACATCCAATTAGATTGAATTTGGTATTGATGACGTGAAAAATAATAATGGTAACTCCATTGAAATGATTCAAAACTAAAGTAACGAGCCAATTTTAAAAAATGTAAGGAGTAGAAAGTACAGATATTTGTGTAAAAATGTAAGGAGTAGAAGTAAAAAGTTGCCATAAAAATAAGTAGTAAAGTAAAGTAAAAATATCAGAAAAATGTACTTGAGTACAGTAACGAAGTATTTGTACTTCGTTACTTCCCATCTCCGGTTTTAGGTTTAGAAAATGATCCATTGATTATTCCTTGCTGACCGGACTTTTCCTCTAATATTTGTCCTCTATTTGTTCCCATTCGTTGTCTGATTATAATAACAACCAATGTCCAAAGAGACACTTGAAAAAAGTATACAACAAGATTTTTCCGAAAGCCTTTCTGCTTGGAAGGAAAATGTAAAAAAAAATCAACGTTTACATCCCTGATGTCTTTAGTTCACAGTCGGAGAGTGTGTGCATCCTGAATGTAAACTTGGATGTAGCCGTGTCGATGTCGCCCTGCTCCTTCCTCGCCGGCCGTTGCCACGGTGACCCACTCTTCTACATCACTGATGGCGTGTGCGACTCTGTTGATCCTTCAAAACTGGAGTGGGCAAAGTTCAGAGCCAAGATGTCTCTTAGGAGTTCTTTGCACGTTCCCTGCGACCTGGACACCTGCTTCGACTGGGAGACCTGCTCCGGTGGGTTCAGTTGACACTATTTGTGTGTTCTAAATGAATTTATGAAGTTTATGACAAGAAAGTAAGGTTTATACAACATCTCTTTGTTTTTTAGCCACTAAAAAGTGCCAGTGTAAAGCTGCTCGAGACTGTCCCAGAACATCGGACCACATGTTCTGCGTGAAGCTGAAGTCCACAATGTTGGTCCGCAGCATGAGCCTCTGCGCCATGGCAGCTATCAGATGTATCGGACATGAGTTTGAAATCCTCAATGAGGGTGTTTGTGAAAGCAGATGATGGCCCAACTCCAGTTTTTATTTACCTAAAAGTGATCTTTTATATAAAAGGGATAAAAATACATTTTAATGTAGCTAGATATGATAGTTTGTCTTGTGTTTCACTGTGAACCTTTGATGGACTGGCGACCTGTCCTGGGTGGACCCCTCACCCAGAGATCGGTCAATAAAGATAGTCCTGGCAGCATTTCCATTTGACTAACTACATGTTATTTTTACTTACTTGTGCATTAAAAGTTATTATTTAAAAACTGTACAGACATTTCTTTATTTTCCAAATAGTTGCTTGCATGTTCCCAATAAGAATTTTCAATCAGCGATGTCAGGGTGTATGGTGTTTTCTATCATTCATTTTAATAGCACTTTGTCCAAATTTATTTTATGCCTCAATAAATTTGAAACAAAAATTAGGTCCAAACATTTAGATTTAAATTTCTATGGAAAAGTCTGAATATTGTTAGAAATTAGCAGAATAAAGTGGCCAGGCTCTGCCTCAGGAACAACATGAAGCGTTGCAATGTCAAGGGTACGCTCAGGGCTACGCAGTTAAAGCTCATATTCAGAATTCAAAGTTCTTAAAGTACTTTAAATATCAAATTATTACATACTGTTCAATAAATTATAAGTGTTTACTGGAGGCATCCATGTTTGTCAAAGAACACTACTGCCACCTACTGGTTTGTGACGTCACGGTGCGGTATCGGCTGTTGATCAAGTCCCAGTGCTGTATCTGGTGTTTGTCACAAAGCGCTATTATCCAAGTCATCTTGAAAACATTCTTCTTCCAAATGTTGGCTACATATTACGTGTTTTTTCTCTGGCCAGAAGTTCGATGGCAAATCCTCCCTCTTCAAGTTGGCGATCCAACGACCAACCCGTCCGTGGAGGATCAGGAATCAGAAAGGTGAAATAAAAAATGTTTGTCTCCACTTTTACCCGATGTATTCCAGCATCCAGCTGCCATGCACGTGGGCATTGTCAGTTTCACTATAGCTCTGGTGAATTTTAATGGTGAAGTCCTCTGGAAATCTTCAATAATTGTTGTTGATTGCAGATGTGTCTAGTAGTTCCCATTGATTTTGCTTGTAAAGCGGGGAGAATGGCGCTAGGCTTACCGCACCATGACGTCACTGCTGGAAGACGGCAGGAATGAGGTGTTACTATATTTGGGCAAAAATGGCCGGTGATGCTAAATGCATTAAATGGAGCCTAGGTGGAAGTTCAACTGAATAAACTGATTATTCGCCTTCATCGACCTACGACAAAGCCAATTAGCTTTAAACCACGCCTCCACGAAAGCCAATCAGCATCCAAAGTTCATCTTAAAATGCCTCCGGTCCGCAACTCGTCTGCTACCTAGTGCGCAGTCGGTGGTTTTGCTGTGTGACTTCATTCAAATGAGCCAGTTTCAACTGACCTCCAGCCCCTCCTCCACCATCGTAGCTAAAACTTCATCAGAGTTTCATTCCTCCGGGACTCTTACAGCCTTTCACGTCTCAATCCAACCAGTCCGGCAGAAGACCGCCATGTTGAGTCTGGTTCTCCCCAATGGGGGGTTTTTCCTCTCCACTGTCGCTTCATGCTTGCTCATCATGGACAGGTTCTCTCAACCTGTGTTATCCAAGCTGGACTTCCATCTTCCAGGTCCCTGAGTGAAGCTCTAGTATCAGCTCACGCAGTCCACTGGATCTCCCCATAAAGCTCAGCAGACCGTCTCACTAACCAGCAGTCTATAGACTGACCAACTTCATCTATCTCCACTCCACCACCAGTTTCAGGCCTTTAGACAGTATTTAAGACATATGGCAAGATAATTATTAAAAATGGATAACTACTGTATTGTTTCAATACAAGAAATTTTTTTTTTTTTTTTTGTGAAATGGCTCCTTAATCCTTTAATCGACAGTCAACTTTAGATCGATTCCCTAATCAATCATTTAAATCCCTTGTGGAAATGTTGCTATTTCCAAATTCAGAATTTGGTAAATTTCTATTTTAATTTCTTTCACGAATTTCAAAAATGGGATCTTTTGATCTAATATACAGGATCCTCTATGAGACAGATTCCCAAAGAACGGGTTGGTACCACTCGGGGGTCATGACACCCCAAATGGGGGTGTTGTGAGATGGTTTTAAAATTAATCCCTTCAAATATATGGAGGCCCAAAATATATAGTGAAACACATGAATGTGGATGTCGCATGAAATGAAAAAATGTCCTATGAAATACATAGATTTAAGTTTTATTTAAAAAAAATACTGTAAACACACCATTAATTATGAAAAGAACAATAGATAATTCAATCTTCTATTTAATTTTATGAATTTAATAAAAATAAGGGATAATAATATTCTAATATAATGATTTGAGGTTTATAAAACTGATAGCTTGAAATCCAGAAAGCAGCTAAATATGTTAATTGATTTCATCTTCAATCCAACCCTAAAATAGCAACTCATGAGGTTTCATTGTTAGTGTACAAATCATTTCTTTTTACAGTTCAGAAAGTAAAAAAAAGGTGAAATATTTACAGATGACCAGGAAGAGTTAAAACATGTCTGTGTTTAACTTGGACAAGCGTCCAGGCTGATCAGACGGAAGGCCTCGCCAGCACACATCCTGCTCCCCACCTCGCACTCTGTCATGGTCACTGCGGCGCCATCCTCGCCGGGGCTGACGCACAGGGGGGCGGAGTCTTCAGGGCAATCTGACGGACTCTGACAGACGCATTTTCGCTGGGATTCTATGTTTGAGAAAAGAGTTTTGTTTAATTGTTGAGTTTGTTTTCTTGGATTTTTCATCAACGATCGGGATAAGCGTGCTCACCTTGACAGATTGTCCCTGGTTTGCAGTCGTCACATGAGCTGAACGTCTCATCAGGTCTGTCACAGTCAGCAGGCCCAGTCGGCGTGATGCTCCGCCCCAAACACCTCAAAGCCCCCAGCTGACAAACTCCCAATAACAGATTTCTGGGACCGACCCTGGAGCAGAACTGCACAGATGATCTGAAAAAAAAAATATATATATATATATATTAAAACACTTGTTTGGTGTTGTGTAGCATTTTTACCAGAAGCTGGTATTGCAGTTACAGGGAGACTAAGAGTTGTTGTCACATATTGATGAGCCCCTGAGCAAGGCACTTAACCCCTAGTTTCCTAGCAATCGGTGTATGAATGTGTGGGAGTTCTGCAAACCGGCTTCATTGTTCTGATGTTCTATCTGCTCAGCCTGTTGTTGTGTTTGCAAGTATGTTGCTCTGACACATAGACATTACTTAGATCCTATAAGTCGTTATGTTTTGGAAAACTTTCGGAAATGTGTGTTTGATGTAAACACCATGATTTCAAAGCCATTTTTTTTTTTTATCCTGCAAAATCAAATTATAAATGCTGCAAAGGAGAAAAGGTGCAGTCAAAGAAATTAGAGATCAGCAAACCTGAAACATGCTGCAAACCAGGAGTGGAGCTAGAGGGGGGCGGGATGTGCACTGGAACCTTCTTAAAATTTGATGGCCCCCAAAGTACAAGTTAATAAAAGCTGCGAAGTGATTTAAGCGCTCCAGACCACTAGAGGGAAAAAATCATCAACTCATATGGGACAAGTAGTCTCGTGAGACCATCCTGATCTCGCGAGCTTTCAAGATTTCACTCGCTAATCAGTCTGGAGACTCTCCGTTAAAGAAAATTTGGAGCCTTTCACCAAACGAACGTCCAATCAGTGTTGGCTTTGAGGCGGGTTGAGGTGTGACGCAACGAGAAGCGCGACAGTTCAGTCTAAAGAACATGGCGGCTTCAGCCGATGAAACTAGCGTTAGCGTGGCTATTGAGCAAGTTTTATCGGAATTACAGAGTATTTCTTCACTGAAAGAAGAGCAAAACACTGCTCTGGAGGCTTTTCTCAGAGGAAAATATGTTTTTGCTCTTCTCCCAACTGGTTTCAGCAAGAGTTTGATCTATCAATTGGCTCCTCTTCGTCGTCGCTCTGTTAGTACGTCATATTCTTCATTGATCTGATTGGTTTATTTGGCCCGTCTATCACCAACATAGGCCAATCAGCTAACCAGTATTTTCGCCCCTTCCCAAAATTACTTCAACAGAAGGTTTCCAGATGGATATGCGGAGCAAATCCATCTGGCGGAGTCAGGTTATGGGATCAGAGCCTTGAGGCATAAACAGTATGCTAAGGGAGATCGTTCAAAAAAACAACTTCCAGATGTTCTCTTGGTTGCACCCCATTTATGTTTTTGCTGAAGGTCCGCTGGTCCAGCGTTCGTGGAACGCCCTCAGCAGGGTCCTGGAGGGTGCATGGGAGTTCGCCCAACCAGTCTACATGTGCTTTGTGGACTTGGAGAAGGCGTTCGACCGTGTCCCTCGGGGGGCCCTGTGGGGGGTTCTCCGGGAATACGGGGTGCCGGGCCCTTTGATACGGGCTGTCAGGTCCCTGTATGACCGGTGTCAGAGTCTGGTCCGCATTGCCGGCAATAAGTCGGGCTCGTTTCCGGTAAGAGTTGGACTCCGCCAAGGCTGCCCTTTGTCACCAATTCTGTTCATTACCTTCATGGACAAAATTTCTAGGCGCACCCAAGGTGTTGAGGGGATCCGTTTTGGTGGCCTTAGGATTGCGTCTCTGCTTTTTGCAGATGATGTGGTCCTATTGGCTTCATCAGGTCGTGATCTGCAGCTCTTGCTGGATCGGTTCGCAGCCGAGTGTGAAGCGGCCGGGATGGGGATCAGTGCCTCCAAATCCGAGGCCATGGTCTTGAGCCGGAAAAGGGTAGAGTGCCTTCTCCGGGTCAGGGGGGGTGTCCTGCCCCAAGTGGAGGAGTTTAAGTATCTTGGGATCTTGTTCACGAATGAGGGAAGAAGGGAGCGGGAGATCGACAGGCGGATTGGTGCAGCGTCTGCCGTGAAGCGGGCGCTGTACGGGTCCGTCGTGGTGAAGAGAGAGCTGAGTCAAAAAGCGAAGCTCTCGATTTACCGGTCGATCTACGTTCCTACCCTCATCTATGGTCATGAACTCTGGGTCATGACCGAAAGAACGAGATCGAGGATACAAGCGGCCGAAATGGGTTTCCTCCGTAGGGTGGCTGGGCTCTCCCTTAGAGATAGGGTGAGAAGCTCGGTCATCCGGGAGGGACTCGGAGTAGAGCCGCTGCTCCTCCACGTCGAGAGGAGCCAGTTGAGATGGCTTGGGCATCTCTTTAGGATACCTGCTGGACGCCTCCCTGGTGAGGTGTTCCGGGCACGTCCCACCGGGGGGAGGCCCCGGGGAAGACCCAGGACACGCTGGAGAGACTATGTTTCTCGGCTGGCCTGGGAACGCCTTGGGGTTCCTCCTGAAGAGCTGGAAGAAGTGGCTGGGGAGAGGGAAGTCTGGGCCTCCCTTCTTAAGCTGCTGCCCCCGCGACCCGACCCCGGATAAGCGGAGGAAGATGGATGGATGGATGAAGGTCCGCTCCTTAGATATTATAACACAGTAATGTTTATGTTCTAATTCCATATAATTTTATGATCATCTCCCGCTAGAGGTCTGGAGTTCTTCGATTATTTGCAGCTTTTTTAACCTGTAGCTGTTTGCATCATTTTTTGTTCGCCTGAGTTTTATTTTTTTATTTTGTGCTGTGAGCTAGTATCATTTTTTCAAGTTCGCTTATTTATTTATTTTTTTCAGTTTTCAGGACCTTCTAAATTTGCTTTGAAACCATGGACTTCCACTGTGTTTTCAACAGTCTGTTACCACAGACTGTTGTATATTGTGATTTATTTATTTTTATATTTATTGCAAAAATCACCAGTAACCTGAACTTTATCTTGTGTCTTGCTTGCATACCTGTCAAATTTATTATTTGAAAATATGGAAAATTTTACGACACCTGCTGCAGGCTGTCCAACTACCCCAGTCAAGCTCCAGTATCCATTATATATTAAGACACGTGCACAATAAATCCAAAATAAAGACTTCAACCATTACAAACTACAATTGGGTACTCAGAATTTGACTCACAATGCTAGTGACAGTTCTGTTTTAAAAGGCAGATAAATGTTCTTTTTTAATATAATTTGGTGGCGCAGTGGTAAGCGCACTCAACCCATGTACGGAGTCCTTAGTCCTCCCCCTGGCCGACTTGGGTTTGACACCGTTCGAATCCCTTTGCTGCATGTCTCTCCCCCTCTCTCATACCCCCTTTCCTGTCAACCTACTGTCATAAAAGAGCCTCTAGTGCTGTAAAAACTTAAAACAAAACAAAAAACGGGAAGTTTATGGAAAACTGCTAATACAGGAGGATGGTAGAAAAGAGGCGTAGAATTGGTAGTACCCAGCAAAAAGCTGTGCTTCTCTGTATGATTAAAAGATATTGGCAGATTAAAGTCGTAGGGAAGCAGCTGTTCCAACCGTTGCATTTCCGAAATCTCCCGAGTGGTGCCCGACTTTACAGGAGTGAATAAAGTGAATGTGATTGGTAGTTTATCAAGGGGGCGGGATGGTTCTGGCGGAAGGTTCTCAAGCAGGTTTGATTGTAGCTGGTTTGTCGGAAGCATCTTGCTAACCAGTTAGCATCTTATTGCTAGTAGGTTCCCAATGGGAAATTCCATTGCGACCAAGTAGCACTAAATTGGTGACTTAGAAACGACGCTGTCAAGGAACGCTATGGACAGCAGAAACATGCAAGAGGAGGAGAGTTTAGTGTCGGAGGTTGTGGATGAGTCTCCTCCGTCATCCATTTTTTTAATTTAGAGAAGGAAAGCGGCGTCAAAGATGTTGTGGAAGAGGACGCCAGGGCGGCAGAAGCTTGGTTTGGTGTAGAAGGCTTACAGCTGTACATGTTTGAGTCCTTGCCTCGCAATGCTGCCAGTTCTGACCGTTGATATATGATTGGCCGAATTTAGGTGTTCAGGCTGACGTAGAACTAACTGGCCTGCATAAGATAATGTAAACAAAACACCACAGTTTTTAAGACAGGATTTTCTAAATGTTGAAACAATATTGTCTGATAAAGAGTACATTTATATACACGTTTAAGCCAGAATTATTTTACATTTACAGTAAATATGATTTCCTTATGACTTTAAATAATATACAAAGAAATTAAGCATCATTTCTACAAAGTATTTTCTTAGCCTTTCTTTTGTACATTTTTAAGCTACACCAACTCGGTTCTTAAACATCGTACTCACTGGCATTCAGGAGGCATTTTACAGACACACTCAGTCTTTCCAATCTTCTCCCATGGTTTACACTTCAGACCAGCTGGTGGAGGACGAGCTGTTAACACTGGGCAGAAACAAAGAAAATGAATTTAACAGAAAGTTAATCGAAAGCTCATCGAACTCTTTAGTTACTCTACAGCAGCAGACTTCTATGCATGTACTCTGACATCCTCAAAAAAAATTAATGCAAACATTGCTCACATAAATACCTGTTACACATTGAATATGATCAGGAGATGGAGACCACTGCAGACTGGAACTGCACATGATCTCAGAGACCTGACCGTCCAGCACCGACCCTGCGGGACAGGACAGCGACACTCTGTCTCCAACTAGATAGACCTCCTTGAAGGGCGTGGCTTCAACTGAGCTGTGGATTGTAGGAGTTCCACACTTGGAACCTGAAAAAGAGGAAATTTGAACAATATTAATGGAGTTTAGTCTTTAATGTGGTGTTTGTGTCTCCACCAACTTAATGTCTTGAAGCAGAGGTTCCCAACGTAGGGGTCAGGACCCCTGCAGGGGGTCACGACACACCAAATAGTTGGTCTTTCACAGTCATTTAAATTAATCACTGAAATATATGGAGCAGACGTGTTCACAAGTCATTTTTTGCAAGTCCAAGTCAAGTCTCAAGTCTTGAGAGCTCACGTCCAAGTCAAGTCTCAAGTCTTGAGAGCTCATGTCCAAGTCAAGTCTCAAGTCTTGAGAGCTCAAGTCCAAGTCAAGTCTCAGTCTTTAGAGCTCAAGTCCAAGTCAAGTCTCAGTCTTTAGAGCTCAAGTCCAAGTCAAGTCTCAAGTCTTGAGAGCTCAAGTCCAAGTCAAGTCTCAAGTCTTGAGAGCTCAAGTCCAAGTCAAGTCTCAGTCTTGAGAGCTCAAGTCCAAGTCAAGTCTCAAGTCTTGAGAGCTCAAGTCCAAGTCAAGTCTCAGTCTTGAGAGCTCAAGTCCAAGTCAAGTCTCAAGTCTTGAGAGCTCAAGTCCAAGTCAAGTCTCAGTCTTGAGAGCTCAAGTCCAAGTCAAGTCTCAAGTCTTGAGCGCTCAAGTCCGAGTCAAGTCTCAGTCTTGAGAGCTCAAGTCCAAGTCAAGTCTCAAGTCTAGAGTAGGCCTGTGGCAATATTAAATTAATCGCACAATAAATTCTAATCACATGATTACTTAAAATAAGTTCAATAATTTGCGGGCTTGCTTGTTTCTCCTTGTGTTTTCATCTCCTTCACTGAGACGGTATAGCTTAAAGGTCGCTATTATATCTATGGAATGATCATTATCTTGAACTAGTAAGTGAAAAATACATGCTTATATGTCACGTAGCGTTGCATCAGTGACGTCATTGCTACATGACTGTAGACAGCCCCTCTGCGTTTTTTTTGTTTTGTTTTTAACCTCTGCTGTGTGTTGGTAAGTAGAGCAGCGATCAGTCAAGTTAGTAAAACAAAAAACACTTAAGAAATAAAATATTGTTCACAAGTCGGAAATCGCGAGTCTAAGTCGAGTCTGAAGTCATTAAATATGCGACTTAACTGCAACTCGAGTACGAGTCACAAACTCGAGTCCCCACTTCGGATATGGAGCCCAAAATATATTATGAAAAACATTAGGGATGCACAATATTGGGATTTTGGCCGATATCCGATATGCCGATATTTTAAAACTCATGTAGCCGATAACCGATATCGATACCGATGTTAAAGCTGGACAAAAATAAGTAGTCATTGAAAATAGCAGTTTTGTTATCCATTTCTGACACTTTGAAAAATAATATACTCAAATATATTTTCATATGCTGATATCAAATTGATTTTTAAAAACGCGGTATCGATCTATTTTACTTTCAACATCTCGTGAAATTTCATCGTTCTGTTACAATCTCGTGATATTTTGCAAATTCTTGTGAGATTTTGCTAGTAAAATAGATCGATACCGCGTCAATATATCAACATATAAAAATATAGCAATATTTCGTGAATTTTCGGGGGATTTGGTAGCATAACGATGACATATAGCAATATTTCATTAGTAAAAGAGATTGATATGGTGTTTTTAAATGGCAATATATCAGCATATGAAGATATTCTGATATTTTAATGTATCAATATTTTTTCCCTCGTCTTTAGAAGTTTTTAAGTCTGTAAAAAGAAGTTTTTGAGGAAGAAGAAGTAGTATTTTTTTTTTTTTTTAGACTTTAGAAACTCAGAAGCTGATCAAATATCGGGTTAAATATCGGTGGGGTGGCCGATGTCCGATATTCAGTTTTAAGGCCGATACAGGCCGATACCGATAGGGGGCCGATTATATCAAGTATCCCTAAAAAACATGAATGTTAAAGGTATAGTGGAAGATTTTCTTTTTCCGGGTGGATCATAAAAATAATTGGTCCTGCTAACTGTCAATCCTTCTGGTGATATGTTGTGTACGTAAGGCCATCCTATGTGCTCGTCGCCATTTTCACTTATCGGTGGTGAGTGTGACGTAGAGGAAAAGTAGGAAATCTTATGGAACGTAAACTTGTATGAACGCTGCAAACAGCAACTTTTAAACAGTGCGTGCACAAGAAGACATTGGCCCGTGCATGCTCTCATAGGCGTTCCGTTCCCTCTGGGGAGCGGGTACAGGATTGTACATGTGCATTTTTTCTTTAAGTGGAGAGGGCAGGTCTTTTTAAACATTTGCAAAAATCCTTCACTATACCTTTAATGTGCCCTGAAATTAAAGAATGTACTATAAAATAGGTGTAAGGTTTATATTGATTTAAATATAACATTGAATATACCATTAACCCTTTAAAACCCTAAAGATCTTAAATGGGGGTAATAACTCAGAATGCATAAAATTCCAGCAGGTGGAGCCATTGTGCGCAGCCAAAAGTTCCAAGCCCCACAGCTCTGGAACTGTTATAGCTAGAGGCAGTGGCGGTTCTAGACCAAATGTTCCAGGGGGCCAGGAGGGGGCCAACAGGTTTTCATGGGGGCTCAGAAAAGCATGAAATAAAAAAACATGGCAAGAGATTCAAATATATTAAGAGTGCTGCATGAATGGAAATGTCTATTCAATTAGGTTTAATTAAAGCTATGTATTATTAGGTCAATATACATTCACAATACAGGAATTTTACCTATTTTTGACTTAAGTTAAGTTAAAATTACCGTAAAAAAAAAAAAAAATCTGAATTAGAGGTCAAGAAAAACTGATAAATTCAGCCATAAAAAATAGAGCAATTTGTTTTGAAAAAAAAACATTTAGCAGATGAAAACTGGGATCCTATCTCACTACCACTGAAGCTATCACCTTTATCATTTTAAAATAATTAGTAAAACTGAATTTGTAAAGAAAAAAAATATAGATATCCAAAGGACCTATTAGTAACCATGTCTGTTCCAGTCCATATTATCATTAGAATTACTCTAAGTATTATGTCTTCGGTACAGGGGCCATAACAGGGGCACTGGCCCCCGTTGGCCCCTGTCTAGAACAGCCCATGGCTAGAGGTCTGAAATTTTCTGCATTTTTGGTTGACTTGATGTAGCTTTTTCCTCAAGAATGTCTTTATTACTGCTGTTCAAAAAAGATTTTCCGCGAGCAAACTTTGAGTCATGTTTGAACTGATGCACGTTGGTCTCAGTTCTAGTGACCCAATTTTAATTTATATATTAGGAAACTAGATGGTGTTAGCTTTCAAATAATATATTGCACATGTAACTTGGGCTTACAGTTCCTAAGTTATTTGCTTTTCCATTTGGGTATGCAAATAGGTGAGGATTACCCAAAATGAGGTGAAGGTTAAGAGGTTAAATTATAAAATGCACAATAAATCATTTACACAGCAGGGGGGTGGCCCAAGTAAGGCAGTACTGTTTTTGGTAAGAGGCTGAAAAGTTTGGAAACACCTCTCTTAAAGCAACACTGTGTAACTTTTGAGCCAAGTATTAATAACTTTTCAGCTCAATATTCAGCACTTAGTGCATATCGATGATCCTTTTGTGCTTCTCTTCCCTAAAACACGCCCGTGTGAGTTGAGGGTCAGATCCATCACTGAATGGGTCATGTGACCAGGTTTGTCACAGCCTAAGCCTTAGCTTCCTTTACACAAGCGCTAACTTAGCTAAAGGTTATTAGCCAACCAAACAGATATGACCCTTACCTAATCTGATATATGTTTGGTTCTCTGATGAAGGATTTAATCTAGAGCAGGGGTTTGAAAGTGGTTCCCGTGTGGCTGCAGGTTTTCTTTTCAACCAAGCAATAGCTCACCACACTCCAGTCATCTCCTCAAGTCATCATGTTCAGATTGGACTCACTTTATGAGGTGACTGGAGTCTGGTGTGACATTGCTTGGTTGGAAAGAAAACCTGCAGCCACACGGCCCTTTCTGGAACCACTTTGACCCCTATGAATGTTGCCTTGACTTTTCCAGTAACTCCTGTAGCTCTCCTAGTGGCTAAAGGTTATGGAGTTGCTTTAAAGTTTCTTTAACACTCAATTATTTAGTAGTAAACAGAAACAAGCCGTTAAAAAAGGTTAAGAAACAGGATAAAAATTGAAATATTCACAATAAACACATGATGAGAAACACAGGAGATGAGGCACATATCTCTAAAGATGGCTTAATTTTCCTCATTGTGACACCAAAGTAATCAGTTTTATGCCTACTAAATTCTAAAAATAGTCATTTGAAAGTCAGCTGTAATGTGGTTAGAAGAAAAGACAAAAAAAAAGCTTACTTTTACAAACCCTCGCTTCTGTGCTCCATTTCTGGTTTTCGCCACATGTAGAAATGGCACTTCCCATGAGATAATAGTCCTCTATGCAGGAGTATTGGACTCTGCTTCCAACCATGTAAAATTCTTCAGGATTCTATAAAAAAAACAAAACAACTATCAGTATTTAAACCTTTAAACATAACATTAAATTTAGCAGCACTGTTAACCACCCTTTAGTGGTGGGGTTCCTCAAGGCGCTATAATCGACCCCATATTCTTCTAAAATCATAATTGTGAATTTAAGGTCTTCTCCCGACTGGTTTCGGCAAGAGTAGCCTGGCTTTTAGTACGTCATATGCTTCATTGATCTGATTGGTTTATTTGGCCCGTCTATCACCAACATAGGCCAATCAGCTAACCAGTATTTTCGCCCCTTCCCAAAATTACTTCAACGGAAGGATATGCGGAGCAAATCCATCTGGCGGAGTCAGGTTAACAAACGATGGCCTTAACTTTGTATCATGTCAGGGATTTTTTTCTTCAGCCTGATCAGCCCAACATTCCTGTCACTAACCTGTGTTTCCCATCTCTGCAGAGTATCGGCCCTGCTGACGCCCAGCCGCTCGCGTAATCCTTTTTGTTTAAAAATAAATCCTGTTGAAAATCGTCCTGGTCTGTCTGTTGGCTGATTATCACCAATCTGTTTCACCAGTTTTCCGCAGCTATTTATGCTGCTTACTGTACTTTCCTTCCATCAGCATCAGATTATTTGTGCTGTTGTGAGTCTAACTCTAGTCATCAAGTGAGTCTCATCTGTTATTCTGATCTTGACCTGTTTTCTGCTTTGGATATTCAAGTTTTTGCCTCGTATTTGCCTCCTCTGTCTGTTTTGTTCTTTACTCTATTTCCTGGATTCTGCCAGAAACCGATCCTGGACTGTTTCACTGACCTCATCTTGTGTTTCCCATCTCTGCAGAGTACCCGCCCCGCTGACGCGCAGCCGCTCGCTGTAATCCTTTTTGTTTAAAAATAAATCCTGTTGAAAATCGTCCTGGTTTGTCTCTGAATATTGGGTCCTTGTTTCTTAGGTCATCACAGTTAAGGAACCAAAGTTCAGTCTCCTCGTTCCCACACGGATTCTGAGAAGGCTTTATTACAACCCAGCCACTAACCTGAGCTCTCTTCCTCAGTGGTTCCAGTTCCCGCTGCTGACTGGGTTCCTGCTTGGTTTGCTGACTTAAAGAAATTTGTTAAATGTTATTTTTGTCTGGTTGAATGTTGGCACTTCATTCTGCTTGATCCTGGTCTGGATCACTACATAAATTGTACCGTTTTTCAGGTTTCCCTTCATCTTGCTTTCCAGCTACAGAAGACATGACTTCCTAAGCAGAGGGAACTAAGGGTGCAAGGTAAATAGCTAGTGATAGCAATCCTGTCTTAATGTTGTGACCTATTTATGCAAGAATTTGTATTCATCACTAACTCCGGCAGTCCCTTTCCTCCAACTTTTACATCTCTTTAAGTTTTTCTAACCTTAACTGCTTGATTACGCCACAGCCTTTAACCAAAAAGTATGGAGCAAAGACACTTTATTTAAGGTGAGAAAGAAAAAAAAAAGGTAGGTGTCAAATCTCACCTCAATGAATCCATTCTTCAGGTTTGGAGGAAGTCCACACCTTTTTGGTGGAGTTATAGAAAGCCCAAAGCACTGAGGCTCAATCATCCTGAGTGGAAGCAATGATCCAGCAGTCCATGAGTGAAAGGTGAATGGTAACTTGATCGTTATTTATGTAGAACGAGCTCATTTACAGCTATAGATCAAAGGAATAAACATCTTTTCTTTTCGATTTTTGAAAATAACTTACTGTAAATATTGGATATTTGGTTCTTCACACGGTTTCTGTTCCCTCTGCTCCCCGATGCAGTGCTGGCCACCTCCTCTAGGGGCAGGGTTGTTGCAGCCGCGGGTTCTTGACCTTTGCCCTTCAGAGCAAGAACTCCAGGATGACCAGCAACTCCAGCTGCCATGGATCACCCCTGGAGAACAGAGGGAGAGGGCATTTTACTGTGCTCTACATGACCTATTGTTTCTAACTTCATATCAAAGTGTTGCTTCAAAGCAGACGTTTTTCTAACTTTTGAGCCCCTGATGTAAAAAAAAACATTGCATCAGAGTGTAGACGCCGTAAAATGACATCAGGACTACTTTAATGTTAGCATCTAATTTATTTCTTTACATTTTTTATTATTTAGATAGAACTTTATTGTGCATTTTACAGTGTAAGGGGTTATTTTCTTTGAATTATGAATTAGATTAATCAATAAAAAAATGTAACATCTAAATATTTTTTAATAATGATAGTGATCCTCATTTCGTAGCCCCCAGGGTGTCAGTGACCTAATTTTAATGGAGTGAATTAAATTTTGAAAAAGCAAATTTTTTAAAATAATAATTGAAAATTGAAAATGAAACTTTAAGAGATGTTTTAATATAAGAAACATTATAAGAGTACCTTTGCTGTTTTCTTAGATTTTTCTTCAGTTACATTTTTTTCTAATTGACATTTTTTTTCAATTTATTTTCACATATTTTGTATTTTGAAATGTTATCTTTAACATTTCAATATTTGATATTTTACAGATGGCATTTTGTTTCCTGCTGGGGCGGGTTTTCCTCTGGAATGAGGAGAAAAGACTCATTTCTATTGGTCTGCTGGACGTTAGAAACATTTTTATTGGTTAATGTACGCTTCAAGTTTTTCTATAGACCTTAAAGTGAAAAGAACGTTCAAAACACAATTTAATAATATTGTGATTCATAAAACTCAATCTGATGAAGAGAAATTTGAAAAAAATTGAAAATATAAATATTTCTTTCAATATAAAAAAAGAAAAAATTATTGAAAACAAAATCTGAGCAAAACAGCAAAGTGACCCAAAAAAAACATTTTTTAATAAACAGTTTTAACAAGTTTTAACTTTGGATAGTTTTTTTCTTTTTATTAATTTCCATTTACAAAACATGTTCTTTCCTTGGAAGAATAATGCTATGTTCACACCGCACCAACGCATGTGGGCGGAGCTAAGCGGTGGAGCACAGCGGAAGGAATATGGTGGAGCGCAGAGCGGTTTTCAAGTCAAAGGCCGGAGCGAGGATTTCGCTTCGCTCCGTTGCGCTCACAACAATCAATCAAAGTCAATGGAATAGACTTTATTTAAATTCATGTTTGACTTTAAACCTAGGCCTATGCCTATGCTTTAGTCTGTGCCTATAATCTGTTCAATGGCGTAACGACACAACAACAGGCCCGTAAGCAACATTATCTGGGTGGAAAGAGACGGCCTAGTCCACAATTGCGTAGGGGGCCCCTAAGAGGTCGGGGGCCCCTAAGCAACTGCAGTATCTGCTTACCGATAATTACGCAATTGAATCTGTTACAGTCTAATGTTTTAACTTTACCACGGAATCGCCGAGACGAGGATTGCATATTGTGTGATAAAAAAGTGGGATCAAATATCATAAAAACATGCACTAACTATAGTGAACAATACAGAGTGGGTTAACATAAAGTGATCTTTGTGGTAAGAGCCTGTTTTTGAAAATGGATCGCATACATGCATTATACGTTATTTTCTCATTTACAATGGAATGCGAAGTGACTTTTTTTTATTGTAGTCTAGTAAAATAAATTAATTAAATAGGAAAGGCGGGGGAACATGAATGGAGCGAGGTGTTATGTTCACAGCTGGGAAACAGTGCGATAATTTAACTGCCAGTTAAATAAGACAATACACATGTATAGGTCACATGATTAAATCAAACGTCGTGTGTCCCAGAGCCCTGGCATAATTACATGAAGGAAAAATGTCAGAAAAATGCCTTCTCATGAAAATTTGAGCGGTCGTGGAGCGATTTCGCCGGTTTTGAGCTGAGCGTCCTGCCGCAACTTTTAGTGGCGGAGCGAATGAGCGAACATCCTCCTGTGCGGGGATTGCGCGGCGCTCCGCTCTGTTCTCATGCTCTGCACTGTACGCGCTTTGAGCAGTAAAAGAAGCCGGTTTACATGCTAAGTCTATGGTTGACGCATATCGAAAGGTTCTGCAGCACGTCTAGAGCAGCAGGAGCAGCGCCTCATGAGGTTCCGAGCATCTGAAGCAAATAATGCACTTCACAAGCAGCAGCTTGTTTGCTTTTATTATCTTGGCGCCTGCAGTTTGTACCACATACCTGAAAAAGGCTAACATCTACTTTCAGCTGCCACTAACAGTAGGAGAAAACCCCCAAGAGGCGACTGGGCCTGATGTAGCTGCTGCTGGGGCTTCCTATTGACAGCGTGCCATCGGTCGGAACGCCTCTGACTGAGAAATTATGTTTGATGGTAGGATCCTAATCTTAACTGACTGCACAGATGGTGTTTTAAGACACACAATCTACTGGACGCTTCAGGAGCATCAAAGCTGCTCTTGAAGCGCATCAGACCTTAATGTCTACAAGCTTAAAAAATTAAGCAGCAGCTTTTTGATTTTCAAAGCGTGTCTGGTGTGTTTGTAGCACACGTAGTCTTTGGGAACCAACGCTTTAAATAATTTGTAAGGCTGTCCTCGAGGGCTTGTGTCCTGATACTCTTAGATGTGTCTCTTCTTCAACATACTCTGATATGTGGCCATTAAGGCAAGGAACACATAAAAGTAGCAGGACACCTGCAGTCCACATTTTCAGTTTGAGACTACTGTTCTGAAGTAATAATAAAAAAAAAATGTAGGAAGGAAAAAAAACGTCTTTCTCAACCCTGTTTGCTGTTAATGTTGTTTACCTGGCTGTCGTCCAGTCTCAGCTCCCCTCTCACAGGCCGGCCCTGATGTTCCAGGTCTGCAGATGCAGCGACACTCCGTGCCTGTCAGCAGCGGCTGGCCGTTATTCATGCAGGGCCTGCAGTGGCAGGGATGCTCCTCAGCCAGGTACTCCTCTGTCGCTTGCTTCAGGTAGAGTTTTTTTAACCCTGAGCACTGAACCTCTTTCACCAGCTCATACAGGGGACGAAGCTGGAAGACAGATGTTCTAACCAATCAGGAGGGACGATGACCATTTGGCCAATAGATATGTATCTCTATCAGAGAGGGTTTGCCACATTATAGAGTTGCACCAATTTAAAGGAATAGTACACCCAAAACATGATTAGCCCTCATTTTCTACTCACCCCCATGCTGAACAACACTCTGGAGTACTTTTTTGATATCTCAAATGCATCTGGAGATCTGGGAGGCTTCTTGCTGTCTGCTGACATTCAAATAATGGAGGTCTATGGTGCCCGAGACAGAAAGGTCCATAAAAGTCCACAAAAAACGTGTCAATATTCCTCCATACTGCTCGTCCAATGTATTCCAAGTGTCCTGAGTGGGTAGCGTCCAGAATTTACTCGAAACAAAGTCATTTAGAATGTTTTTAGAGCATAAACAGTAGTGTATAGGATTTCCTGAAAGCGCGTTCACGATGCTACGGAAACCGCGGCAGACCAAACCAGACGAAAGTGCGCATTCAGCTCGGCAAAGAACTCATGCTCTTCCTCAACACTGAAGTCCTCAGACATTTTTCTTTCGTTGTTTCTTTCTTTGCACAGGTAAACAGCACATTTCTTCTTCTACGCTTGCATTATCGGCAGAGCAGACGCTGAATGCGCACTTTCATCTGGTTTGGTCTGCCGGCTTCCGTAGCGTCGTGAACGCGCAGGTGCGCGCTTTCAGGAAATCCTATACACTACTGTTTATGCTCTAAAAACATTCTAAATGACTTCGTTTCGAGTAAATTCTGGATGCTACCCACCCAGGACACTTGGAATACATTGGACGAGCAGTATGGAGGAATATTGACACGTTTTTGTGGACTTTTATGGACCTTTCTGCCTTGGACACCATAGACCTCCATTATTTGAATGTCAGCAGACAGCAAGAAGCCTCCCAGATCTCCAGATGCATTTGAGATATCAAAAAAGTACTCCAGAGTGTTGTTCAGCATGGGGGTGAGTAGAAAATGAAGGCTAATCATGTTTTGGGTGTACTATTCCTTTAATAAATATTATGATGGGGAGTTTCATTCAGGCAGACACGGCTCAGCTACAGGCATCCTGAGGTTTTACTTAACCTTGATTGCAAATCAGCTCAGTTTTTACACAGTACATTTTGTAGTTAAAGTAAAACTTACATACAACACAAATCTGAGTGCATTTGATCCCACTCTGAATTAGTGTTAGATTAACTCTCTACATAGTGCATATCTTACTCTAGTTGTTGTAATAACCCTAAAAGAGTCAGTTTATTCTGACACTGCATATCTAACACTGTGGTGGCCTAATATCCTTAAAAGATGGCAGTAACGGACAGAGGCGATGCTAGAGTCTGTGGGGGCCCAAAGCAAAAAATCCTAGGGGGCCCTACCGACCAGTGTTCATCACCATTATGTTAGGCTATAAATAATCTGACACCAACGAAAAATGTATTAAATAAAACCTTTTTTTTTATTCCAAATGTTCTAAACATGAACAACCTTGTTATTTTGGAAAATATAAAAGAATAAAAGTAAAGAATAAATTAATAAATTAAAATAAATGTATAATAAAATAAAAAACAGTAAACAGTATAAAAAAAACAGTAAATTACTTGAAAAACCCAATATAAACTTTGTATAAAATATAAAGTATATTAAGTGTAGTGAAATTATTGGGTTCTTATACTGCTTTCAGAATTGCTGCTTATGGGCCTTGGCTTGTGCAAATGCAGACACTAAGTCCTCCAGATCCAAAGACCTTTGCACACTATACTCTATAGAAATAAGCGCCAGTCCTGAAAGTCTCTCTTGAGACATGGTTGACCTCAGATAGGTTTTTATCAGCTTTAAAGAGGAGAAACTTAGCATTCACTTAAAGCTATAGCTGCTGTCTCCCCGTTAGAAGACAAAGTAGCATAATTTCAATGACAGCAGTCATTTACTGTTAATGTTATGCTTAAATCATTATCTGCTCCACTTACCACTGTCTTTCTTTCTTTTTGCTTCTTCTTTTTTCTTCTTCTTCTTCTCGCTACCAGATGGATAGCTCCTCTTTATTTTCCTACAGCTTAGTTACTGAATTGCTTTCCAATTTAATTCTGTGAATCAAGTGTATGTGATTCACAGAATTGAAGTCTTCTGCCGGGGCGCAAGCGCCAAAAAACTTATTTCATTTATGTCTTTATCTGCTTCTGTCACCTTTAAACCCAATCGCACTGAGCCTGGTTCTGCTGGAGGTTTCTTCCTGTAAAAAGGGAGTTTTCCTCCCCACTGTCGCTTCATACATGCTCAGTGTGAAGGTTTTCAGAGAGTCAATGAGTCGATGCAATCAGCTGGTTTTCCTTAGATAGAAATATTTTGAAGAGGATGATTGTGTCACCTGTATAAATAAATTGAAGGTTTTTCTAATTGCAGCTTTTCTCTGTGTTAGTCTCTCTAGGTTGAATTGTTTGTGAAAGTTGTAACAAATACAGGCTTGTCTGTTTTTCTGTATGTTGCTGCAATGCATAGCCCCTCATGGGATAAAAAAAAAGTTTTGATCCTGACAGAAATATAGAAATAGAATAACCCCAACAAACAAAATATAAACAGATTGTATAATTATCCTCTTTCTTACCTTCTGATTTATCACGTTAGGGAAGTCTTTGACAGATGAGGCCCAGTCATTATAGATTTCTCCATTAGCTTCTGGATTCTGTAGATCCACAACAGATAGAGCACCAATGAAACTGGGATCTCCTCCAACAATATTGACCTTAATGGGCATCTTGTTCGAATGGCTTTCTGCAAAGAATAACAATAGTGTCTGATTAAACATCAATTAAGAACTTCAGTCAGTTATCTATGTAAATCTGAGGCAGAAATTATAGTTTAAAGGTTGCAATAACTTTAACTCACTAGCACTGGATTCCAGATGTTTCTTTAGTTTCTCACATGTGATTTTGGTTTTTTTAAAGAAGAGGAAGCGCTTCACTTTCTTCCAACATCTCTGATATTCAATATCTGTCACACCTTTCAAAAAAGAACCCATAAATATCACACAATGCATAACGCCTCATGTCTCTGCCAGAATCAACATATACAATACTTCTTATTGTTGCAAAGTGCCAAAATTGTCCAAATTCATTGTGAAGTTGGTCACCGCAAAACCCCTCAACTTTAGCAACAAACTAGCAACAAAGGAAAGTAGCACGATATCGAATAGGTGAAAGTGTTTTCCTTAAAATTTTGCTGACCTTCATCACACTCTACGGTGCAAATGTTGGTATATATAAATTCCCATTAACTGCTGATCATACTGTTCGAGGGTTTGGGGGATTTTTGAACATATTAACAGTAACAGTTATCAATTATTAAGTCCTTACTGTGGGATGAGTGAGATTGAAGGTCCAATTCCAACAAGCCTTGGTATTCGCCTCCGAGTGAACCCTCTGACATGTAGTGAGTGCCAAAGGTCTTTAGCACCTGGCGGTAGGCTGAGTAGTCGTAGGTAAGAGGCAGAGAGGACAAGGCCTTCCAGAAGTCTGCAGAAAGAGTCAGATACTGGGGGGCAGAGTTTTGAAACTGGGCCAGTTCCACTCTGTTTTTCAAGATTATAAGTCTGTGAGCCTGAAACACAGCAGAAAAAATGGTCAAGAAATTTACTGAAGAAATAAACAACATAAATAATGAAGCCCTTTTTTTTTTTTTTACCACCGTCAATTCAATGGTTCACTGTGACTTTTAATAACTTTAATCATTAAAGTTTAATGGATGGATGGATGGATGGATGGATGGATGGATGGATGGATGGATGGATGGATGGATGGATGGATGGATGGATGGAAGGACGGATGATGGGTGGATGGATGGATGGATGGATGGATGGATGGATGGATGGACGGTTGATGGATGGATGGAAGGACGGTTTATGGATGGATGGATGGAAGGATGGATGGACAGACGGGTGATGGAAAGACGGATGATGGATGGATGGATGGAAGGACGGATGATGGATGGATGGACGGGTGATGGATGGATGGAAGGACGGATAATGGATTGATTGATGGATGGATGGATGGATGGATGGATGGATGGATGGATGGATGGACGGGTGATGGATGGATGGATGGATGGACAGACGGGTGATGGATGATGGAAGGACGGATGATGGATGGATGGATGGATGGATGGAAGGACAGATGATGGATGGATGGAAGGACGGATAATGGATTGATGGATGGATGGATGGATGGATGGATGGATGGACGGGTGATGGATGGATGGAAGGACGGATGATGGATGGATGGATGGATGGACGGATGATGGATGGACGGATGGACGGACGGGCGATGGATGATTGGACGGACAGAGGGAGGGACGGATGGATGGATGGATGATGGACGGACGAAGGGAGGGACGGATGGATGATGGAAGGACGGAGGGAGGGACGGATGGATGGATGGATGGACGGATGGATGATGAATGGATGGATGGACGGACGGACGGAAGGATGGACGGATGGACGGACGGGTGATGGAATGATGGACGGATGGATGATGAATGGATGGACGGATGGATGAATGGATGGATGGACCGATGATGGATGGATGGATGGATGGGTGATGGATGGATGGATGGATGGACCGATGATGGATGGATGGATGGATGGATGGATGGATGGATGGATGGACGGACGGATGGATGAATGGATGGACGGATGGATGAATGGATGGATGGACCGATGATGGATGGATGGATGGATGGGTGATGGATGGATGGAAGGATGGATGGATGGATGGATGGACCGATGATGGATGGATGGATGGATGGATGGACGGATGGATGAATGGATGGATGGACCGATGATGGATGGATGGATGGATGGATGGATGGATGGGTGATGGATGGATGGAAGGATGGTTGGATGGATGGATGGGTGATGGATGGATGGAATGGGTGATGGTGGATGGAAGGATGATGGATGGATGGATGGATGACCGAT